CTAACTTAACTGCAGTGGGAGTACATAATAGTACCCAGTAGGGGCCCTTTTATTTTGGAGTTAAATCCCCTTTTTTAGACTTTCCATCCTTTGAATAAACCAGGTCTTTGGGCAGTACATGGGGTGAGTTTGTAGTAACTGTCAAATCATGTTTAGGGAGACTTTGGTTTACATATTTAGAGATTTAGGAATTAATCCAGCCTCAAGTGAATAATAAAGCACTGTAGTCTTTATCTATTGATAGGTCTACGATGAGAAAAGTCTTTGCATATAATTACTGGGGGAATACATCCAATTTTCCAGTGGTTTAAATAATCATATGCCCATGGGATCTTATTATTATTTCCACAGAATAACAAGCACAGAAGATTGTCCATACATGGAATATACATGAAAACTGTGACGATTTTTCTGAGGTTTACTCAAGTTGTCTAGTTTAGGCAAACAACCAACATTTAAAGACAATCAGAACTAGAATTTAATATCCATAACAGTGCATTTTGAAACAGTTTTTCTCTCTAAAGACTCCCATTTCCAGAGATAGCCAAATCAAGACCAAATCATTTGTAGAACAAGTCCAGTTTTAACAAACATGGCCTAATTATTTACATAAGCTCAGCAAGAGTAGCAATTGATCATAAGGATCTTTTAAAGTTTGCTTTTCTGGAAACTTTTATAAGGAATCTCCAGATTGAACATTTGGTAGCCTCTCCATGCCAGAAGCCAAACCAAGTACTTTGGTCAGATATGCCTGAAACACCTGTAGAAGTGGGTGAATTCCTCTTCACGAAGTCCCCAAGATATCCTGAGTTTCCTGCACCTGCCAGTAAGGGACATTCTTTATTCACCTGGTAAAGTTGCTGGGAAATCTGTAAGTAAGGTATCAGGCCAACATTTCCAAGGGGTTTTATGGCTCCATGTTTCAAAAAGTCAACCTTAGTTCCTTAAAGCTGTCGGGTCATACCCGAGTCTATGCATGTCCCTTTTAAAAAGGACATTCCAGTCAAAGCCTTGGCAAAACAACCAGTATTTCCAATGGTGTCCAGTTACCAGGAGAAGATTCTTATTGCACTTATGCAAATAATTATAATTGCCATGAAAGGAAAAATACTCAATGAGAGTGTTTGAATTACAGAGGGTTTAGGTAGAGAGAAAAGTTAAATGCTTCAGTTTACAAATGAATATTTCATGACATCTCTGTGTATTACAGATATCTTAAGAGAAATTTTCCTTAATCTGGAAGAGCAAGCATTAGAGAACCAGCAATATTTTGAACAAGAGTCACAAAAACTGTAATCTTCCTTGGTTTATTTAGTTCCATGTTCCTGATTCTTACTCAGTTTGAATGCAGCTTTTTAGTTCTGGAAATTCTTACCCATTTTAGTATTAATCTTAAAGAAGTCAAATACATGTATTTGTCCTAAAAGTTCTTTTTATGAATCTCCTTGAAGATAAAATGCATTTTATGAGAGAATAAGAATAATTATAAATGACAAAATCTCCAAAATGGACATTGTTAAAGATCCGATGCAATTGACAAGGAAACTCGGTTATTTCTGTGACATATAACACCTCAGTAATCAGAATATCAAGTGAGGACCTTATACCAATACCAAAACATTAAAACTTTAGGAATTGAATGTATATTTGAGCTCTTACAGCATTTACCCATGCAGTACAACCTGTGGTTTACCATTATTTGACAGTGATTTTCCAAATAACTTAACATACAGAATACAAAGGCCTAATTTGTCAAAAAGACTTCATTTACAATTTAAATCTTGGGAAAGTGTGTTAAAACCTTAGAAAGTTACAGAGAACATTCTAAATAGGCTTATAGATCATTACAATCTTAAAACTTTAAATTATTTATTTAACCAAGATGGCAGTAAGAGATTCCAAAGGCAAATGTATAGCATTATATAGTTGTGAGCAAAACCTAGCTCCTTTACCATTGGGAAATTTAAATTTAAGTGACCAAAGACTTGATAACGATGAAACCTAAAGCTTTGGTTTTCCCAGCAGACAAAAGAGAAAAAAAAAACCCTTTTGTTTATATTTTCTTATCAAGAGCAGATCAACAATCGAAGAAAATTTTGTCCTTTGAAAAGAGAGAGAAGCAGAATTTCAACCTTATACCAGTTTATTGTTAAAATCCATTCATCTGAACCATAGTCCATCCCGACCACACATAAAACTCCTACAACTTTGCTTTGCCTTCAAATTTTGTCCTAAGCTATTTTTCTCCAAACAACCAGCCTCATTTAGGACAAAATTACTTTCTTTTACCCTCAACAAAAAAACATATTTCCATTCCTTTTGTATTTCTTACATTTCTCCCATTTTCCTGCATACAGAGTTGCTTTCCTTATTTCCATCAGTCTTAAGTACACTTAGCAGAATTTTAACACTTAGAAACCTTAGTCTTCATTGAGAACTTAGTAACCAATCCTAAACTGTTACACCAGAATTCTTTAGATGATAGCTTCATGAGTCAGTTAAGCACAAAACACATTTTCCAATAGACCCAAATAGCCTTAATTTCTCTACAATAAGTCAAAAGCAGATAAACCTTATGTTTAGTAATCAATGCTTCAGCACTCCATTCTATTTGGAAAAGACCTAGATGTCCAATGAATTTCATTTGCTGTGCAAACTTTAAAGCAAAACTTTAAAGTTTCAGGTTACCAAAGACTTTGAAAGCTATCTTAACAATTACCCATGATAACTTTGAGACAGACAAAATTACACATTATTTTAAGTCATCTTTTTTGCTAACAAAGTGCAACAGAGATAACATGAGCTTATTTGACCTTTAGTAAACCTTGGTAGAATAAGTTTCATATTTAATGCTGATAACTTTAAAGCCAGGTCCAACGAATTTATACTTTAGTTTAAATAAGTATGTTCCACTAGGGTCCACTTAAAAGGCAATCAATTTTTTCACATTGTCAGTTTTTACCTGGGATACCAGTAGGGGAATCTGAAGTGGGTGGCCCAAGGGGGTGCTCTTTACTGCTTGACATTTAGGGTGGGAAGAGGAGCCAATGGTGCCTGAGGCACTGAGGATGGTATAGGAACCGGTTATCTAGGCTGCACCTAAAGAGGTACAGAAACAGGAAGGACAGGGGAAGGCAGAAGAGGTGAGATGCCACCAGCAGGTAGAGAAAGAGCATTCATGGTTCATCAACTTTGTCACTGGGACAGAGGAGCAGACACTAAGTTTTTTTGTTTTTTTTTTTGTTTGTTTGTTTGTTTTGTTTTTTCCATCAAAGTGGAAATATGGAGTCCATGTTAGGCTGGAGAAGACGGGGAATTTTCCTGGAACAAATAGAGTTTCATCAGCTGCTTTGGAATATTACTGAAAGCCCCTGTCCTGAGGTAGACTAACCATAGTTGGCTACAATTATAGCTGTTAATCCAGGAAATGAATGAGAGAGAAGCCCTCACATCTATTAGGCAGAGGAACAGAGAGAAAGAATCAGCGTCCCTTTTGTCAGGGATGGCCTGTGTTGCCTCCAGTAACCTGGATTCTTTTAGGAGGCCTATTTAGACAGTTATCATCCAATATATCAAGAGGGAGTTTACTGGCCTGGTTAATGACCGAACAGGTTCTGCAAGAGGCCCTGGGATCCAGGTAGCCATGAAGGCCTGGACCTGGGGTACTTCCATCCATTTCCCCTGTTTACTAAGGTCATGCAGTGTTAGAGGAGATCAGTCCTTTCTCCATTTTGCAAGTTATATTGTTTCCAGTGTGTTAAAAAGGCATCCCAAGGGAGACTCTTTGGGGCTGGAGGAGAAGCTCCCAGGCTCCTCCTAGACAGAAAAGTAGAGAGAAGTTCCATTACCCCTGAGAATCCCCTCTGACTCCTGGGTAGCGTCCCATGCTCAGGTTATGTCAGAGGTTCCTAGTGTCAAAGTCACCCAAGGAATCCCTTGAAGGAAATTGCTTTGACCACCAACCAGCCAACTAAGGGTTCCTCAAGGAGGGATGCTAGTGTCTCTCTGCTTCCCCATTACATTCTAGATTACAGATGAGTGCCTAGTGTATGGACTGCAATACCGTACCCTCAAGGCTGTGCCCTAAAATGCCATGCCTTGAAGAACATGCCCTGATGGTCATGTCCTGATTAGCTAGTCTTTGAAGAGCATGCCGCAGAGGCCATGCTTTAGTTTGTTGAAGAACCTGCCCTTTTTAACCTATGGAAAACACTAGAAAAGTTTTACAAGGGGGGGATTACCCAATTTTATAATTTAAGTAGTAGTTAGTAGAGGACATTGACTGAAAACAGTAAAGGCAGAAATCCATCATGATCTAAGTGACATTCCAACACGGGAAGTCTTTACAGCCAACCTCCCTAGGAAATGGTTCCCTGTTGGGTTTAATTCAATCGGGTACTGGTTTCAGCTGGCTCCACCTCCCAGTGGAGTTCCCACAGCCAGAAGGGGCTAGACCAGGGATGTGGGAGGGATGTTAGATGAAGGAAGAGGAAAATTCACAGGGGAGTCATATGATTGGCAGCTGTGCTAGTCATTTAGGTGGCTGTCCCATGCCCAAGACAGACAACTTTGTATAAGGGTAGGAATACACAGAGGATATCAAGTTTCTGGGTCTTATTACCGTTCAGTCAGGGTACAAACTTCCAGCCGAAAGACAAGCTTTCTCCTCCCTGTGGAGTAGCCACGGGCTAGTTGATTGCAGCCTGAGCAATTGAAATAAAAGCATTCCAATAAGACCATACTCTTCAAAAAGCCCCTGAAATGAGAGTAAAGGGGGAAAAGAGAAAGTATACTCACCATATTTTCACTGGCTCACAGTTTACATGAAAAGACTCATAGCCCTACAAGTTGGGTGACATATGATGAAGTTTTGGGGTGATGGTGGATGGTCCAGAGCTGATAGCCAAGAAAGAATTCTTGAAGATGTCTTTGGTGCAAAAAACAGGTGATTTTGTTAAAGTGTGGGACAGGACCCATGGGCAGGAAGAGCTGCCCTGGGATCGTGATGGGTAACTCATTATATACCCGCAGGTTGGGAGGGGGTCAGGGATAGAGTAAGTCTCTAAGGAATTTTGGAAGCAAGGTTTCCAGGACTTTGAGGGGCTAGCTCTTGCTAGGGAAATGCCACTTATTACCATTTGATAAAAACCTCAGTCATTGTGGCACCTGGGTGGCTCAGCTGGTTGTGTCGGACTTTGGGTCAGGTCATGATCTCATGATTTGTGGGTTCAAGCCCTGTGCCAGGCTCTGTGCTGACAGCTCAGAGCCTGAAGCCTGCTTCAGATTCTGTCTCCCTGTCTCTCTGCCCCTCTCTGCTTATGCTCTGTCTCTGTGTCTCTAAAATAAACAATTTTTTTAAAAATTAAAAAAAAAAAAAACACCTCAGTCGTGAGATCCTTCAGATGTATGTCTGAGGGCCACAAGCTTGGAGTATGATTGCCAGCATATATCTTGGGACAGATGAAATAAAGGAGGTAGACTTACAGGATCTTCAAGGTTGGGATGATGTTAAGCTAAGATTCTCTTTTGCTCCTAGCAAAGTGTCTTCATCGAGGAAGCTGAGCTCTTAGTGGGAGGTCACTGTCAGTTTCAGGGACTTGTCAGTGGGCTGTAGGCAGTAAGGGAATTTAATTTTTCATTTGCTTTAGTTTCCCACATTACTGTGGCAAACACTTAAACCCCCTTAAATTTTGAGGAGGGTGATATTTGGGCTCCAGGAAACAGAGTCGATAGGTTTTTGGTGATCAGACTATGGATAAAATTGCCTTTTTATTGCAGTTTACTAAGTTGTCCGTAAACTGAGGGAGACTCTTGTCTTGCATGACTGTGATGTCTATCAGTCAACCATTTGTTTTCTTTCCTTTCCCCTGTTCTTGGGCAGCCAGAAGTGTCCAAGGAGCATCACCCATATCCCCCCTTGAGGAGGTTGGGGGTGTGCCAGCCTGTATTTTGGCCTCAGCTTGCCCCATGCTCCCTCGTTATTCTGAGACCACTTGGTGTTTTGGAAGGTGGCTTTTTATATGTGACTGTCCTTGAATGAAATGCGGACAGTGTTTGTGCAGCTGCTGACAGTTTTATCAACTCTGCCCTGGGAGTAAAACTTCAATGGAAAAGTAAAAGGAAGAAATTTCCCGTAGTTTAGCACATTTATATGGTAACCATATTTGATATTAATATTTTTCTTTTCCCAAGTCCTGGATTTCATGTGACAATTATATTTTGCTCCATTCAGTCAGCAGAAAAGCATTATTTTTATCTGGAGGATGTTAAGTGTAAAACTGCTAATATTTTCCTGTATGATTTTCAAGCTATCTAAATATGGGCATGTGCATGTGCATGTAAATCACTCCCCCACATGTGTATCAATAAAGGCTCTTTGCTATATTTGTTTCTTGATATTGGCTCTTACAAGTTGCAAATGAGACTTTCAACAAACCATGTTGATTCATCTGCAGATTCCTCATCAGAGCTCAAATCAGTTGTTTTCCTGTTTCGTTCCCTTAATTATTAATGTTGTCAATGAAGCAGGAATTACCCAAAATGATGAGGAAAGGAGAGAGAAACAATTGGGGAGGAGGAAGGGAAGAAGAAGGAATAGGAAATTTTGTGGAGAAGGGAGGTAGGGAAAAGAAAAGAGGAAGGGAGGGAAGGTGAGAAAGGGAAGGAGGAAGAGGAGGGAAGGTGAGAAAGAAAAGGGGTAGTTGGAGGAAGGTGAGGAAGAGATTAAGAATCACCAAAGTTGCCCATGTGCTTTAAAGGCATTGTTAGCTCATTAGATGAGATAGAGAAAGAACAAAAAAACGAAGCAAACAAAAAAAAAACCGCTGAAAAGGAGGAGAAGGTTTGTGGTACTGAAATCTAGCATAAAGAAATGTACTTGCGTACAAACTGAGAATAAATTAAAATTAAAGATAAATAAGCTTTCTATAACAATCTTCATGTGGAAAATTGTTGGCATTCAGAGCTGATGGCCAGGAAAGAATTCTTGAGACATCTTTGGTGCAAAAAGGTGGTTTTATTAAACACAGGGACAGGACCTGTGGGTATAAAGATCTGTTCTGGGATTCTGAGGAGTAACTGATTATATACTTGGGAGCTGGGGAGAGATAAAGGTGACCGGAAGTTTCCAAAGGATTTTTATCTGCTAAAGAAGACTCAAGGGATCCTGCAGGCCTAGCTTTTGTCATGCTAAAGTTGTTTTTCCCTCTAGCAAAGCCTTAAGAATAAGATAGTTGTGACTTCCTGTAGGAATGTTATCCTCTATAGGCCTCAAGTATTTGTCAATAGACTGGTGGTCATAAAGAAATTTAGTTTTATCTTCACTTCCTTCTGCCTTCCTTTCTCACATCACACCTGAGAAATGGACTTTTTTGTTTTTTAATGATGGCTGGCATTTGAGAAATAATTCATATTTAGACAACCGGCTTTGTGGTTTTGTTTAAAGAATGATTTAAATTTCACCTTGTGGGACCCAAGGAATTTAACAAAAATCCCCTACCCCTGGACAAGCAGAGCAACACTAACTCCATTTTGTGCTACACCCACCATCTCATGTATAACCCCCACATGACCTACTTATTGCTTAAGACACTCCCCCACCCTAGTCAGGCCGCTGAGCACACCCTTACTGGAAACCGGCTCATATAGGAATGCGGAACCCCTAACCACCAAAGAATGTAAACCCCGCCTTCTGCCTGCCAAACTTGCGCGCCAATTCTGACCAGAGTGATAGGCTAGTTCAAACAGTTACTATAGGGTAAATTGTAATTCAATTGGCCACCTGCGTGTGGACTGACATGACTATGCAACTTTCTGTGTGTGTTACAATCTCATTGGCCACTGGCCCCTATAAAACTGTTATGTCTCTTAACCTAGGGGTCTAAGTCCCTGCTCCCCTGTGTCGGGTATACTTGGGCCCAAGCTGGAGCTTACAAGTAAACCCTCATGGGTTTGCATCGGCATCGGCTCCTTGGTGGTCTCTCGGATTCGAAATCGGGGGCATTAAACCTTTAGTTTTTGGTAGCAGTATTTGTTACATTTTAAGCTGAAAAAAGACTAAGTAGATATGTCATAAGACTAGAGATACTTATCACATCTTTCAGTATGGCCATAGTGATTTAACTTAGAGCTAAATAAATTACAAGCTTGTATCACATATTAAGCAAAGCTAACTTATTTTATTTTGTTTAAAGAACTTTAGGAAAAGTTTTGACTAACAGAGAAAAAGAAAACCTAATGGAGCAAACCTAAGTCTTGGTAAATTAGACAATATAGCTTTTATTTTCTTTTTCCTTCCTTCCTTTCCTTCCTTCCTTCCTTCCTTCCTTCCTTCTTTTTTTTTTTTTTTAGTTCTAATTTTGGTTTCTAAGTTCATATATATATATATATATATATATATATATATATATATATATATAACATGCAATTCATCTCTCAAACATCTGTGCATATAAATAACTAAACATACATTATAACTTCATGGATATATGATTCCTCAAATGTTCTGGTTGAGCTCTTCATCTGTACTCTCTTCATCAGTGACAACTTACAAAATTTAAAGAAAATTCTTGAGTGCTACCTTGAAAGGAGAAAATTTGACTTTTGTTAAACCTTATTTTAATTTTGACAACCTAATTGAACTACTGGGAAGTGAGAACAAAATGAGCAGCACTTCTGTGTGCTTTTATTAGACTGAAGCTTTTACAGAACTTGTTTGCACTTGTAAAGCTGTTCACATCTGAACTTCTCTTCACCTGTAAACCTTCAAAAAACCAAACTGGTCAGTGAATTCTGTTCAGAGCTAATGTTCAGCCTGATAGAATGGAGTTGTTTCAATTCTTTATTCTGGTACCTGTAGTGTTCACATACCTCTTTATTTCTCATTTTACCTCTTTTCTTATAAAATACCATAAAACAGTAGCATGTAAGTTTATAGATGTAGGTTTATAGATAGATGTACAGACTTTGATAGGTTGGAGTTTTAATTTTTATCAATATGAAAGTAATGATGACTTCTTAAGTCTATTTCAACACAACTGTGTGTTGTTGCAGGTGTTGTCTGCAGCGCTGTGGTTAGAGACTGGTGAGCTCAAGGCCTGGGGACACATTGCTCAGACAGAATCCAATGATTCTGAGTATGACCTTGAGATCTGTAGACGTGGAATCTAGATGTTTCTCTTGTACTCAGAAGAAATCAGTCTTCTAGAGACTGACTGACATGTTATCTCTTACTGATGATGGTTTGGAGTGGTTGGGGGCGGGGATCTGGAGCCAAAATGGCTAAGAACAAATTCTTGAGACACCTTTGGTGCAAAAAAGATGATTTTATTAAGGCATGGAGACATGACCTGTGGGCCCGAAGAGCTGCCCCATGACCACAAAGAGAAACTAATTTTATACTTGGGAGTTGGAGGAGGTAAAATCAAGGGGACGTTTCCAAAGGGACTTTTATATGCTCAAGAAGACTCAGAGGATACCGGAGGCTTAGCTACTACTGTGAAGCTAAGGTTGTTTTTCCCTCTAGCAAAGCATTATCCTTAAGACAGTAAGGAGTTCCTGGAGAAAGTTTTACTCTGCCTGCCTCAAGCATTTGTCAATGGGCTTCAGTTTATAAATAAATTTCATTTTACCTGCCATTTCCTTCTTGCCTTTGTTTCCCACATCATTATGAAGAGGAAGGTGATTTTAGGGGCTCCAGGAAACTGAGTCTACAGGTTTCTAGAGATGAGACTATTGATAAGATTGCCATTTTCTTGTAATTTACTAAGATGTTTGTAAACTGATGGAGACCCATATCCTGTATGATTGTGATTTTTATCAGTTAACCATTTGTTTCTTTCCTTTGTTTTGGGGCAGCCAGGAATGCATAGGGAATATCACACCATATTCCACCTGGGGGGAGGGGTTGTACTAGCTTGTGCTTGGCCCTCACCTTGCCTTATGCTCCCTCATCATTAGGTAGTTGGTTTGTAATAGTGAGAAAGGTGACTAATGAGGAATTAGGTGACTCATATCTGCTTAACAGTCCATTATCTGCAAGTTTGCATACCTTCTAAGGCAGCAATTTATGTTTATTTGGAATTAAATTAAATTTATTTTATATTATTTTAATTTCTGTATAGTTAATACAGTGCTATATTAGTTTCACAT